TTTATAAATTTTTTAATTATATTTCTACGAATTTTTGAATTTTTTTCGAATTTATTATGAATTAAACATTTAATTATAGCTTTTGACTATTTTTAATTCATATTTAATGGAAGGGTAAGAATGGAATGCAAAAATAGGTATGTTTCCAATAGGACTCATATGGTCCTATTTTGGAATAAAAACATAGCAAGTCCTATTTTAGGTTTTTGCCATAGTTTTAGTCCTATTTGAACTAATTTCTAAAGCTTATACTATGGGCAGTGATTGAAGACCTCCTATTCTGAGGAGAGACGAATTTACTGTGTGGAAAGCCAGATTTCTTAATTTTATCCGAAGCAGAGATAATAGAAAAAGTATCCTCAAATCTCTTAATGAAGGACCCATTGAATACTGGGTTGAAATTTCCTGCATATACAATCAATAATCCTCCAACACCTCCTAGTAGTGTGCCCAAGAATGAAGACGAGTACACCAAATCCGAAAAGCTTAGAGCTAAAGTTGATCTCCTTGGTGCTACTTATCTGCTTCAGTCTATCCCCAATGAGCTTTTCATGCAAATTGACAGCCTCACGACTGCCAAAGATATGTGGGATGAGATTCACCAAATTATGCAAGGAACTGATGTTGGTATAAAGACAAAGCGAGTTCACACTCTCAGTGCTTATGACTCGTTTTCTGATGGAGCTGATAAAGAATTGGAGGATACCTGTCAACGTTATCTGATGGTATTGAAGTACTGAACGAGATGAGGAAGATCAACATTCGGAAGACCAACATGGAAGTCAATCTACGCTTTCTATGTTCCCTTAGGCCAGAATGGAAGAAGACTGCAAAAAGAATCAGACAAAACAAAGATTTGAATGACGTGACCATCCACAACGTCTATAATTGCTTTGGAGAATTTTCCGAGGATGTACTCGAAAAGGTGAAAACATCAAAAGAAAAGAATATTGTTGATTCTCTTGCTCTTTTGTCTACGAAAAGGAAGAAGAAAGATAAGACACCTAAAATCACTCTTGAAGTTGATTCATCCGAAGAAGAAAAGAATCAGTCTGATTTTAATCCTGAAATCAATGAGTTGTAGAAAGAGCTAGCTTTACTGACTAATCTTACAAAGAAGATGAATAACAAGTTCACAAGGTTCAAAACTCCATCATCATCCAACAAGCAGAGAACTTCTTCATTCAATTATTCTGACAAAGCAGCGGACTTTCTGATAAAGTTGTTAGTGGAGATCATCTGAAGTGCCTCAAATGCGGCAAGCCTGGTCACTTTGCTAAAGAGTGCAGATATGCAAAGAAAAAAGATTTCAGCTACTACATGCAGAAGACACAACTTGCTAAGCAGAAGGAACAAGGAGTTGTTTTAATGGTTGAACATGACCACTGATTGAAAGATTCCGATGACAGTGAGCCAGAGAATTTAGCACTAATGGCTCGAGTTGTTGAAGCTGAAAGCGGTAGTGATTGCTCTGAGGAAGATACTGGTTCTCCATCTGCTAAGAATGAGGTAAGTAATCTAAACCCTTTTATTACCAAACAATACACTAAAATTAATGAGCAAATTTCTTCTTTAAAACAAGAGAAAAGTAAAATATAGGAACTTGAAGACAGACTTACTAATAATCAAAGTTGTCTTGAAAGACATTTAGAACAAGAAGCACGTCTTGGTGTACGGTTAACGAATTCACAAGATAAAGTCACTAGCTTAGAATCTGAAATAGCTAAACTTAAGAAAACTGTTTGTGACTTAACTAAGGATCCTGATGAAAACAAGCGAAAATGTCACTACAACAAAACAAGCTTTTGGTAACGCTTGAAAAATGTTACACTAGACCATTAAAGTGTTACAAAAAACTAATGCAACACTTTTATGGGCATTACTTCAAGTCTCGTTACATAAAGTTATATGCAACATTTTTTATCTTATTATGCAACATAAAATAAAAGTGTTGCAAAAACAATCCAAATGCAACACTTTTTTGTGACACTTTAATTAGGTTCTTACGTAACACTTTTCAAAATAAAATACAATACTTAAGATATGACTTTAAGCAACATTTTTTATATATATGTAACATATTTTCCATGTTATTTTGCAACGCTGATTATATTATGTAAATTTAATCAATATTTTACGCAACATTTTGTGTAAAATATTGACAATTCTGAGCTACAGCGCCTACACGTTAAGATATAAAAGAACATGCTTGCAATACGAATTTTATATACATTAATAATACTAGAAGTGTAATACATATGTAATGAACAAATATCCAACAAATTTTATGCAAAAAATATATAAACACATCTCAAAGAATGTATCATAAACTAGAAAGGTTACACTGTTCAAATTGAAAAAGAATCCAATATATTATACTCCGTAGAATATCTCTAATTGAAACTAAAAGTACTCTTCTAACTGGAAACCAAATGGGCGGAAGTTAGAATATCTCAAATCTCTCGTTCCTTGTGCATTGTGCCTCATATTCCTCCATTTCAATTATCTACCGTGTAAAACAATACACAATTTAGAGGTTATATGGTAACAAAATATGCTTTTATTAAGAAGAAGGATTCAATTAATATATTTCTATTAATAAAGGATATACACCATTTGCATCATTTGCAATGGAGCTAAAGATTCATTATTTTTTGGCTTGAGATTATGATGGAATAAAGCAAAATGGCTCACTAAACTGTCTGCGCTTCTTTGTTATGAAACAGCAATCAGTCCATGCAATTTTGGACGGGATTTTCAATATGGGTCATCCGAAAATAGTCTCTCTGTGCTTTAGTACAGGGGTAAGACTGCGTACATCCGACCCCCCTTACCCCACTGTAGGTGGGAGTCTTTGCGGCACTGGGGTAAATGAAAATGAAATGATGAAAATGAAATAAAGGATATACACCAATCCATGCATACCTAGATACAACTCCAGAAAATTTATAAATCATAGGTAATTTGTTAACTTAAAATTAACAGCAACAAAAAAATAATGAACACATGCAAATAGGTTGCCACTTGCAAAAAGTAATTTCTATTTTCAGTTTCATTTTTATAAACTAAGCACTGCATGTAGAAGGCTTACTGGCTGGAATTCTATGAAGAGTTCACCCATTTTAGAAAAATAACTAAATAGCATGGTAGAAGCATCTGTTAGTAACAATCCCACTATTTTCTTTCTTTTAACACCAAGATACTCTATTATCTAGGCAGCAGGGAACAATTAATTATGGGTGCTAATTACTCTAGTTTAAATGCTAATTGTGATTGCTAGTTACTCTGGAACATATAAGAGACTTTTAGTTTTATGTCCTACTTTCTCTAAGTGGCTGCTTATGTTTCTATAAAGGATTGAAATTTTGAGTACTAGTCTAGGATGCACAGAAACGTCAATCTCCCTCATGTTTCCGTCCCGGAAACGTTTCGGAAACGCGAAACGTCGGGAAACGTTTCTGAGCACTTGATCTTTTAAGCCGGCTTGGGGAAACATATCGGAAACGGGAATTCAAGTGGGCCACGGCGTTTCTGGTTATTTTTCTAAAAAACGGGAATTCAATTTGGAGTTAGGCCTACTTCCGTGTTTATTTTTTTAAATTATAACAAACCTGCCAGTCGCCGACTCTAGCATCACTCAACGGCAATTGAGGGCTTGAATACTGAAGCAATAGGCGACGGCGACGCTGGTGACGACGGGAGACCTTGTGCTGAAGTTGGTGACCGGCGAAAGCCATCTGCAGCTGCCATGCTGCGCTACTTCATTGGACGCGTGGGTCACTGGGTTGAAGTGGGTCTGGGTAATGCGTATTTGCCCATTTGGGGAAGTTTCAGACTTTATTCTTTAATTTGTGGTAAATGCTTCCTATTTCTCATTAAGTATGGAACGTTCTAGTGCTAAGTAGCACCAGGACCGAAACGGAAACGGAGAAACTCTAAACATCAAGATAAGGGTACGGCAAGTAAACGTCGAACTAAAAATTAAAATTTTACTAGTATAAGTAATGTTTGCATCCAACAAGTACGAAATAATTAAACAAAACATATGTCTTTATTATAATGCATCATACATGCATAATAAATAAAACGAAAAAGTAAATGTTTCATTCAGTGGTAAACACACTCTCCAATTCTGGCTCATCCAAGGATAAATTAGCAAGCGCCAAATAATCCATTTTTTTTTAAAATTGCCGAATTCATCTCCTCCAACACCCCACATCTTAGTTTTCTCATATGTGTATTTGCTCAAAACTCCTTGACAAGAGACGAAGGTTGTTGTGCACAAACACCAAATCCTCTGCACGCTTAGGAGTTAATTTGTTCCGCCTAAGTGAATGAATAAAAGGGCAACTACTCCAATTACATTCGCAAGATGATGAAGATGTAGGTTGGCCCAGAACTCTAAAAGCAAGCGATTAAAGGATCGGTGTTTGAACACTAAAGTTAGCCCGCCAACTTTTAGGATCCGTGTTTCCCCTTTTCGAAAGAGATGTAATATCTGCAAAAGACCCTGTCTTAAGTGAAAATGAAGCAAACTCATCCAAAACCTTATTATAATTATCACCATTTGGAAATAGCCTTCGGAAGCATTTCATCCTCTCTTAGGAGATCTCACCATCTCTCTTGGGAGATCTCATCATCTTTATGAGGAGGGACACTAGCGGGATCCGCATCAAGCCACACTTCAATATAAAACCGACTCCCTTTGTCGCGAAAAGATTTGCAAATTGACTTTACTTGGTCAATGACAATTAACTTTGATCAATGATATTTTTTAACAAGAAATTGATTTGAATATGGAAATTATATCAAAATGTCCATTATTGAAAGAAATTTCATAAAAGTATTAAATATAGTAATTTAAATCATTGTCCAAAGTTCGCCATCTTTGACCATGAAAAGTCAATTTGGCCAACCTTTTCGGGACAGAGGTAGTATTAAAAAAATAATACAACCCAAACTTTAATAATAATTAATTAAATAAAATAATAATTTTTTTGGAAGAATTAGGCTTATATTGATATCTCAACATTTAGATAATGGGTAATCCGACAAACAGAATCCTGACAACCGCTGTCCCGCGAATCAGACTCGGAATTAATCACCTCAACAGAAGTAATATAACTCGCTGATCCATTAATGGGCACAAATGAGCCACAGACGGTTACCCCAATTCCCTTATTCCCCATATCCAAATCAATCGTCTCACGGAAAGGAAACACAAAAACAAAACAAAACCCAAAACAAACAGAATAGTCTGGAAATAAGAAAATACAACTAAAAAGCTTGATCTGTCGCCCGAACTGGTTAACCTGCACAAGCACCCAAATCTTCTGCCTTTGAAACTGAATCCACTTAGGCGTTGTACTCCAGGGCGGCGGCTCCGAAGGGGGACGCGCCCGCCGCTCATCCGCCACACACTCAACATCAGCTTCATCTAGATCCAGTTCTTCTTCCTCTGCCCCAATCGCCAGTCCTCTACAATTCCACAATAAAATACTCATGTCGCTACCCTGCGAGAGTTCTCGGTGTGCCCTCCACGCTCGCTGCCAATAACAGAAGATCTCGGCACCGTGCTCGCCTGAACGAAACACCACCGAACAAATATAGCTAGGTGTTGCCTAAACGGCAACCCTGAAGACCCTGTTGCGATCGAGGGAAGGAAAATCTCATTAAATAAAATAATATATGATGAGTAACTAATAATGAATACCTTGGATTCAATGAATGTGCTAGACAGTGAAGTGGCGTAGAACTCTTCCCCCAACGTGTCACAAAAATGTCGTATACTACTTTGAAGAACGCCCTATCTTCATGGAGAGATTATCCTTCATGCTTATAGATTTCAACTTTGACTTTTTCAATCATGGAATCCTACATCTCATACACCAAATGAAGACACGCCCTATCAGTATCACATGCTCGAATCATACTGTAGATAGGATCCAATAAAGCAAGAATGTAATCAATTGGATCCACCAATACTCACTTAAAATCTTCTCCCTCACAAACCTTGTCTTTCCTTGATCATCCTCATGGTATGATGCTCATTCATGACTCAACACCATAGCCTCAAGACAACGCTTAATAAGTTTAAACCTCTTAAGCATCACAATTATAGAAGCAAGTGGGTGTCCGGCACAAAAAGTAATTTAACGAACATGAACTTGTTGAACATGGATAACATCATAGTATGGTTCATGATGAAATTTTTTACATGAATAGCATTCATCATGGATTTCAGTGATCCAATGGCATTCATCATGAACTTTTGTGTTGCTCTCCACATTCCTTGCAGCACATATGTTCTTAAAAACAAGATTTAATGTATGCACAACACAAGGTGTCCAATAGATGTGGGAGTACATACCTTCAATTATTTCTCCCGCACCTTTGCATTATCGGTGATCACCTGCACCACATTTTGATGACCTATCTATCAATGACTTCTTTCATCAAGTTTGCAATGAATTCTTTTAATTTAAATTCACTCATGCAATCCACTGATTTAAGAAACATAGGACAATTTCCAGAAATAGCCATAAAATTAATTATAGGTCATGTTTGAGGATCACTCCTACCATGAGTCGCAATTGTCACTCCTCTTTCTGGCCAAGTAGCTTTGAGTGGTTGTAATAGTCTTTCAACATTTGACTTTTCTTGTTGAAGTAAAGTAGTCCTCAATTTATTGTAGCTCGGGGGAAATAACCTTCTAACTTTGTGATTAGCAACAAAAGAAAAAGCTCTCATATAATATGGATTCCTAGCAAGATTAAATGGCAATAATCCTGTAAAAATCATCCTACTAATTTATTCATCTAATTTCGCTCTAGCATCCATATCAAAAGCTTTCTCTAAAAGACCAACACTAACTTTTCTTTAATTAGGTAAACTAGTGTTACATATCCAGTACATTTGTGACCCCGCCGAAGGCAACGGAACGTCTCTAGGTGCAACATTTTTTTTATTTTCTCAAGTTCTTCTAACTTTTTCATCTCTCGCAAATCATTAGGCTGGACCTTCTTACAAATAGCAATTTCTTGTTTTGAAATTTGAAGCAAGTGAGCTCTTACTCGAATAAGATCCCTGTTTTACGTCATTACAGAAATTACATTGAAATCGTCATGACCCTCCTGTATCAGCACTTTTACCCAATTTAGTAACGTATTTCCATAAAGCTGTATTGTCAACACCTACAGAAGAACTTGTAGTTGTTGATCCACTTGCACCATCACTAAAGCAACTACCGGTAACATCAGTACGTTCCATAATTAATGACAAATAGGGAGCACTTACCACAAATTAAAGAATAGAGTCTGAAACTTCCCCAATTAAGCAAATACGTAATACCAAGACCCACTTCAACCCAGTGACCCACGTGACCAGTGAAGTAGCGCAACACGACAGCAGCAGATGGCTTTCGCCGGTCACCAACTTCAGCACAAGGTCTCTCGTCATCACCAATGTCGTCGTCGCCTATTGCTTCAGTATTAAAGCCCTCAATTGCGTCGAGTGATGCTAGATTCAGCGAGTCGTAGGATTGTTTTAATTTAAAAAAATAAACGCGGATGTAGGCCAAACTCCAAATTGAATGCCCGTTTTTTAGAAAAATAACGGGAAACGTTGTGGCCCACTTGAATTCCTGTTTCTGATATGTTTCCCCCAAGTCGGCCCAAAAGACCAAGTGCTCAGAAACATTTCCCGGCGTTTCGCGGCGTTTTGCATTTCTGAAACGTTTCCGGGATGGAAACATGAGGGAGATTGACATTTCCGTGCATCCTAACTCTAGTGATGGTGCAAGTGGATCAGCAACTACAAGTTCTTCTGTATTTGCGTGAGATGAAAAAGTTAGACGAGCTTGAGAAAGTAAAAACAATGTTGCACCTAGAGACGTTGTTTTGCCTTTGGCGGAGTCACAAATGGACTATATATGTAACACTAGTTTACCTAATAAAAGAAAAGCTAGTGTTGCCATTTAATCTTGCTAGGAATCCATATTATGTGAGAGCTTTTTCTTTTGCTGATAATCACAATTTAGGAGGTTATGTCCCCCCAAGGTACAATAAATTGAGGACTACTTTACTTCAACAAGAGAAGGCAAATATTGAAAGATTATTACAACCACTCAAAGCTACTTGGCCAGAAAGAAGAGTGACAATTGTGACTCATGGTTGGAGTGATCCTCAAAGACGACATATAATTAATTTTATGACTACTTCTGGAAGCGGTCCCATGTTTCTTAAAGCAATGAATTGCATGGGTGAATTTAAATCAAAAGAATTCATTGCAAACTTGATGAAAGAAGTCATTGATGAGATAAGTCATCAAAATGTGGTGCAGGTGATCACTGATAATGTTTCAAATTGCAAAGGTGCGGGAGAAATAATTGAAGGTATGTACTCTCACATCTATTGGACATCTTGTGTTGTGCATACATTAAATCTTGCTTTTAAGAACATATGTGCCGCAAGTAATGTGGAGAGCAACACAGAAGTTTATGATGAATGCCATTGGATCACTAAAATCCATGGTGAATCCTATTCTCGTAAAAAAATTCATCATGAACCATACTATGATGATATCCATGTTCAATAAGTTCATGTCCCTTAAATTACTTTCTGTGGCAGACACCTGCTTTGCTTCTATAATTGTGATGCTTAAGAGGTTTAAGCTTATTAGGCGTGGTCTTGAGGCTATGGTGTTGAGTGATGAATGGGTATCATACCGTGAGGATGACAAAGGAAAGACAAGGTTTGTGAGGGAGAAGATTTTAATTGAGTATTGATGGGATCCAATTGATTACATTTTTGTTTTCTCGGATCTTATCTAGAGTATGATTCGAGCATAACATACTGATAGGGCGTGTCTTCATTTGGTGTATGAGATGTGGGATTCCATGATTGAAAAAGTCGAAGTTCAAATATATAAGCATGAAGGAAAATCTTTTGATAATGATAGTGCTTTATTCAATGTAGTATATGGTATTCTTGTGGCACGTTGGGGGAAGAGTTCTACGCCACTTCACTGTCTAGCACATTCATTGAATCCAAGGTATTCATTATTAATTACTCATCATATATTATTTTATTTAATTAATTATTTAGTTACTCATCATATATTATTTTAATTAATTAATTATTAAAGTTTGGGTTGCATTATTTTTTAATAGGTTTTATAGTGAAGTTTGGCTTGATGCGAATCTCGCTAGGGTCCCTCCTCATATAGATGGTGAGATCTCCCAAGAGAGGATGAAATGCTTCCGAAGGCTATTTTCAAATGGTGATGATTAGGATAAGGTTTTGGAAAAGTTTGCTTCGTTTTCACTTAAGGTGAGGCCTTTGCAGATATTACATCTCTTTCGAAGAGGGGAAACACGGATCCTAAAAGTTGGTGGGCTAACTTTGGTGCTCAAACACCAATCCTTCAATCGCTTGCTTTTAGAGTTCTGGGCCAACCTACATCTTCATCATCTTGCGAACGTAAATCGAGTACTTGCTCTTTTATTCATTCACTTAGGCGGAGTAAATTAACTCCTAAGCGTGCAGAGGATTTGGTGTTTGTGCACAACAACCTCCGTCTCTTGTCAAGGAGTTTTGAGCAATACACAGATGAGAAGACTAAGATGTGGGATGATGGAGAAGATGCGTTCGGCAATTTGGAAAAAATGGGCTATGTGACGCTTGCAAATTTATCCTTGGATGAGCCAGAATTGGAGAGTGTGTTTATCACTGAATGAAACATTTACTTTTCCGTTTTATTTATTAGGCATGTATGATGCAGTATAATAAAGACATATGTTTTGTTTAATTATAAACATTACTTATACTAGTAAAATTTTAATTTTTAGTTCGACGTTTCCTTGCCGTACCCGTATCTTGATATTTTGAGTTTAGAGTTTCCTCGTCTCCGTTTCCGTCTCCGTTTCCGTTTGCATTTCCATCCCGGTGCTACTTAGGTACTAGTTACTCTGTAATATGGGAATTAATTATAGGTCAGGATTGGAAGGAATAAATTTTAGGTGTCTTTTTAAAGAAAAAATGTAATTAGGAGAAAATATACTTGTACACTCTCAGGCCTAATTTCTATTATATTTAACGGAAAGAATATAATAAGCATTTTCGACGTCAGCTTGCTTTAATGAATTAAAAACAGCCTTCTTTTTTCTTTAAAGCCTATTGCCATCTTACTTTCCCAATCTAAAATAAACTAGTATCCACCTTCCTCATTTTCTGATACTATGTATCATCACTCTAGGACACTATCTAATTTCAGAATATACGGTTGGAGCTGAAAAACAATGCTTTGGTATAATTTCCTAGAACTCCCATAAGATTATTAAACACCTATATCATATATAATCTGATGAATGTAAAAAAATTATCAAAGGGTATTGCTATTCATTAAAACCTATAGGGTTGGACTTTAGGGATAAGAATATGGTATGAACTGTGAGCTTTATGGATTGGAAATACAAAGAAAGAACACATGATGAATGGTAACATAAGTCCCACAACAGTCCAACACCATCAAGAGTCAATGAAAAGGCAATATTGAGTCCCTCCTCTCAAGAAGGTATAATCAACACATAATTATCATTTTTATTCAAAATATAAGGAATGCTTGAATGAATTACTTATCATTTTACTCTATATCGGATTAAGTACTTATCAAAATACTCCCTCCGTTCCTAAAAATTCTTCCCAGTTTGACTTGGCACGCTTATTAAGAAAGTGGAATAAAGTGGAAATGTATGGTTGTGGTTGTGTAAGAAAAGGGTAAAATGAATGTGAGCCACACAAATTGTCCAAAATGGGAAAGTGGGAAGTATTTTTGGGAACAGCCCAAAAAGGAAAGTGGGAAGTATTTTTGGGAACGGAGGGAGTACATCACTAGGTGGTTCTCTTTGATTTATTCAAAGGTTATTACAAATTTATACATCAATTGAAAGAATATCTCATTGGGACATTTTACCAAACACATTATAGGCATTTCAAAATTGAAACAATTTGACATAAACATTTTCATGATTCATCTCAAACATAAAGCAATCAAATAAACTCTACACAAAACATATGCGAAATTCATGCTTAAAAGGTAAAAAAACGCTTCAATATGAAACATATAGCATAAAATCAAACTTTTTCTGAAATAAGGTTCTTTTCTTAGTAATTGGGTTCATGGATGGGTAATTTTCAAGCTCTATATCAAATTGGAAGATATAAAAAAAATCTTTGATGAAACAATTATACAAAACTCGAAGTCGAAGTATTGAAAAAATAAATATCGAAGTCATCAATAGCTTAAAAAACATTTTTTACCTAAATATGGACGTGAGAGCAGCAGTGCACGACGATGACAGCTAGTGACATGGGAGAAGCATTTGACGGCGATGGTGAACGGTGGTCGACGGTTAAGGAGCGGCTCCTCGCCTCCTACATAGGTTTCCTGTCATCTGTACAAAAATGTTGGAGTATCAAATAGACGAACTAAGCAACAGAGGGTGTTAGGACTGTTAGCTTAGTGTTTTTATACCCTGTATATCAGAATGAAAAAAAAAAGGTGTTTGCTTATATCAGAAATTCAGAATAGACCTAACATAAAAGGTGTTAAGTTAATGTTTTTTGGCGAAATTTGAATAATTGATGCTTTTAGGGATTCTACAATAATAAAATATTGGAGTGTCTATAAAAATAATCTGAACTAGTAATAATGTCCACAAGAATAAATTAGGGTGAATTTAAATTAATGCATGTTTAATACAATCAATCTCTACTCACATTTTTCTCTTCACCGCTCTTCTTATCGAAGTGAATCAAAACTAGAACCAGTTTAATCTTAATGTCATTTCCGTCATATGTGGTTCGTTCTAGGATAAAAGATAGAAATGTTACCGAAAAGAAGAGTGGTGGAGGGGAAAGTAGATGTAAGATTTGAGAGTATTAAATGGGAAATAATTTTAATTTATCTCATTTTATTCTTGTGGACAATATTCCTAGTTCGGATTATTTTTATGAATACTCTCAGTATGGATTATTATTGTAGAATACCTAAAAGTAGAGATTATTTTTGTGAATTTCGTCATGTTTTTTTTTTGCGAGGAACTTTTTAATTTTTGTGTGACTGAATTTGAAAATATTAAATTTTACTTGTATAACATCTAATTAGGGTTGTTTTTAATTGTATTGAAATTTTCTGGTTCAATCTGCTTGCTTAAGTCTGATCTGATCTGGACTATTATGATTTGCTAAGAGACTGTTTACTTTTTTCCCATTATGTCCTGAATGGATTAAGACGTCTGTCTGCATTAAGCTGTCTGTCTAGATTAAGTTACACTGAGATAACAAGTTATTTACTAAGTGTGCTGAATGAGAAGTCTGAATCATGTCTAATGACCAAATAACACTCCTGTCTGTAACAAGTGTTGAATGTATTTTGTCTATTTACTTTCATTGTTCTGAAAAATAAAATTTATATACCGGAAAATAATAATACTATGAAATTATGAATTACTTAAATAAAAAAGTCATATTGCATGATCCTCTGCAGTGCTATTTAAAATATTTATCAATACAATAAACACCTCAAAATACTATACATATGTATATATTAGGTTCAAAGAACATCACAATTCATTTGTTAAACATCGTAAATTACTGTTAGGGATCTAATTATATATAAATTAAATACTGCAAAAGTAAAATAAAATAGAAATCAAATTATTCCCAAGATTTTTACACAAAATTAAAGAACTTATGTAGTTCACTTGAAATCGGGATTTGTTAATTCCTGGTAGAAGAACCCAATGAAAGCAATAGAAATCACGTTATATTCTCCCAAATTAAAGAACCCGTCATTTTTGTTTTCGTTTCGTAGTATTTATAAAGCAAAAGTAGGATTATGTAGCGGGAGAAACAGATTTAAAGAACTTACCACTTGAAATCGACCCCTCTCATAGCCATCGAAGCACAATGAAATAAACAAGATAAACCGTTAATTTGGTCTTCGTACTACAATGAAAAAGTCAATTATGTCCTCATACTTTTGAAAAAATCAATCAAATCCCTGAACTTTGTAAAAATGTTCAATTGAGTCCATTTGCACGTTACTTGCCATGTCATCAGGTCACCCGCTGACGTGGCACACACTTGACGGTCCACGTGTGCACCACGTCATGATCAAATGGATGATTGGACTTTCACATGTGTGCCACATCAGCAAAGTCACTGCTTATTGGGCTGCCACATGTGTGCCATGTCAGCGGGTGACCTGCTGACATGGCAAGTAACATGCAAATAGACTTAGTTGAACATTTTTACAAAGTTCGAGGATTTGATTTATCTTTTTAAAAGTACGAGGACCTAATTGACTTTTTCGTGATAGTACAAGGACCAAATTCATAATTTTCCCTTTTATTTATTAATGTATGAAAATTATAATTTTTTAAAAACTATTGTTGAATTTGTCCATCATCATTCATCATCATTACCCTAGTGCCTCAAAGGCCCTCACCTTCGGTGAGGTAGGGGGGAGGGTCAGCCTTATCCCTATACTAAAGCACATAAAGACTACAACAACATCCAATTTCGATTCATGTCATGTGATGTGACTAAGTGATACTGTTGCCCGTCACGCGCCTACCACAGCACCCTCCTCCTTTATCCTGGCTTCGGACAGACATGATACCAAAAAAATGATCTCATGTCGGAGTTAAAGCACATAAAGACTTGATGGGGTTATGAAACTAGGCTCAGAGCCTAATCGGCCCAGGCCCCAAACTTGGACCAGCAGGCCCAAGCCTAGTGATCCAGAGCTCGTTCCGGCCCAACCGATCAGCCCATCAAAGAGTGAAAGCCCAAGGCGGCCTGCCTTCTAGCCCAGCAGGGAGCCTGCCTACCAGCCCAGTCAGCAGCCTACCGTCCAGCCCAGCAGGGAGCCTGCCTACCAGCCCAGTCAGCAGCCTGTCGTCCAGCCCGGCCAGTGGCATGCCTTCCAGCCCAGTCAGCAGCCTGCTTTCCAGTTCGGACAGGAGTCTGCCTTCCAGCCCAGCAGGAAGCTTGTCTTCCCGCTCGGCCAGCGGCCTGCCTTCCAGCCCAGCAGGAAGCCTGCCTTCCAGCCCGGCCAACGGCCTGTCCTCTAGCCAAACGGGGAACCTGCCTACCGGCCCAACCGGAAGCCTGCCACCAGAGGAGCTCAAGCGCTCAGCCTGCTAGTCAGGCCGACCTGCCAGCCAGGCAGGAAGAGTAACGGCCAACAATCAATGCGCGACTTAATTATGTGTTTAATTCCGTATTAATGTTGTAATTAATTTAGTCATTATTATGTTCGGCAGTTACCATTTGTAATCGTCTATAAAAGGCAATTCGAATTTCAAATACAGAGAAGCTATTCTTGGCTACCAAATTCCCTTAGCACTTTCCCGTTCTTGCTTTCCTAATTCATGCTTGAGTGTCGTATGTAGCTGTCCCAAAAGCCTACGAGCGTCCTATTTTGGACCAACAAGACTATTACCAGATAATTACAAATTTGTATAATCTGTTTTTAAATTTATTTTACTAATAGAGAATTAAATATAATGATAGTCAAAATTGTGCATTAATATGTTTTTAAATGGAAATGTTGCAATTAAAAATGAATGGGGTAAATACTAACTAAAAAATGTTGGGAGACCCGTCCCTTGCTTGAAAATGTACCTCTTTGCCCATGAAAAGAAGAGTCGACATGTTTACAGGGTTATCGAATTGGAAATTTCATTCGTCATGATGCAATTGTACGTCTTATGTTTCTACTGTAATTTGTTGGTCTAGTCTGCTCTGGTTTGAATTAATTTGGTCTGAACTGGTCTGATCTGGTCTGGTTTCTTTGTATTTTTATAACTATCCAAGTCTGGTCTGATCTAAACTGGTCTGGTCTGGTCTGGGAGGAATTATAGTCCAAGTAAAAATATCCTTATTGTTGCAATACAATTCTTATTATTCTTGCTCGCAGTGGCGTATCCAGGGTGGGGACAGGGGGCAGCTGCACACACTCAACCTCCACCCAACTCCCATATATATATTTAAAATTTCAATTATACATATATTTGTTTAATGAATATACATAATATATACAATAATAACGCATACTGTCACTAAATAGTAGTCTAGTCCAGTGGTAATGGAGCTATTTGCCTTCTAAGACATGTAGGTCGAGTGTTCAAATCTTTCTCCTTTTTTGTTCCAAACTTTAATTTTCCATTTATTATCTTCCTTGTTTTCTTTTTAAAGATTTGATCAAATTTAAAGTGACTTAATATATACATACAATTTTAGATTTAATGTTATACATCATTACATTTTTAGAGTTAAAATATACTACGTACTTCATTAAATTTCACACCTAACATAATTTCATTTTTAGATATAATTCTATATTCACAATTTACATTAATTCAAATCTTTCTCCTTTTTTGTTCCAAACTTTAATTTTCCATTTATTATCTTCCTTGTTTTCTTTTTAAAGATTTTATCAAATTTAAAGTGACTTAATATATACATACAATTTTAGATTTAATGTTATACATCATTACATTTTTAGAGTTAAAATATACTAGGTACTTCATTACATTTCACACCTAACATAATTTCATTTTTAGATATAATTCTATATTCACAATTTACATTAATTCTAAATACATATACTATATGTCCCTTATTCAAATTATTTATTTATTAACATGACAATAAAAAAATTAGATTTTTTTCCAAATTTATTAAGCATGATTTCATATTTTTTAGTTGATCGATTAGTTTTTTTAATGAATTTTGTACTGTTTTTCTTAAAGTGTCCAGCTGCTTGTGACCTGCTTGAAATAATATATACTCCCTCTGTCTTATAAATTTCTTCTCGGTTTGACTTGGATCGAATTTTAAGAAAGTGAGAATAAAATGAAAATGTATTATTGTGGTCGAGTAAGTAATAGAATGTTAGTCACACAAATTTTTTCAGAAAGGGAAATGAAAAAAGATTTTTTTGTGACATACCAACAAGATTAAGTGAGAAGAATTTTATGAGACGATAGAAGTAGTATGAACTCGCTGTCACTCACAACAATTCCTGAATACGCCACTGCTTGCTCGCCCTATCAATAATATAGGTAGTATAAGTTTGTTTGCTTAAACAATAGAAAAGCTATTGTGCTTTAGAAACATTTATTAATGGAGTCCTTCACTAAATAAATGAATGATGATGATGTCTCATATGACTACTCCATATTCGATAAAGGAGTGCATTCCTTAAATTTTTTGTGTAGATACATTAACATTTAAACCCGTTTGTTCCTACAAGAAAATTTTCTAGTAGTGTTTTATTTTGGTAACAACTCCGGTACCTATTTAAAAATTGGAGTATCATATTTACCACTCACTTGATTGATTCAAAGTATTACATCATTTTTAATTTAGATTTAAATAATTCAACTACATTATTCTGATTGGTTCATGTAGACAAATGTATAATAGCTTAAGGGTATCATATGATCTATCTTTTATTTTTTATAAATTGAGGG